TGTGACCAATGTAATAATTAGAGAAAACATTTGAAATGGGATAAAATCAATCAAAATCACATCTTTTCAATGGCTTGGCGTAATTGCCATGCGTTTGGAAATGGCCAGATGACTAACAAGAAACAAAGACAAGATTTTGGCTTTGCTCAATCATTGTTTTTGACCTCTTGAAATCTGAAATCCTGGCTAAAGTATTCAAAAGGAGTATTTTATAGGTGAATTCCTAGGGTTTCAAAGGCAATGAGGGAAGAATTTTGATAGGCAGGAAACTTCGCACTATATATACACATTGCTCTTCTCTGATTTGCTTTAACACTGAAAAAGTGAAGATTGTAAATGTAGACTCAGAGTAAATTAACAAAAGATTTGTTTTTCAAAAAACCGAATGTATAAAATAGTAGGTAACAGATGCCATTAGCTGCTAAAAAATAGTGTGACTAAATTCAGTAAATATCTAGCCATGCAAATAACAGTCTAATTAAATGAAGACCCAAATAGGTGCATGTGGAAAGCATTGCTGTACAGTGTTTTCTCAGCATTTCCTTCTGCCTCTTTACAGAGATACCAATTTCCCCTGGGTAACTCAGGGTGCATACTGGGAACTGAGAATGCTGTGTTCAGAGTGATTACTGAAAACATGGTTAATACACTTCTTCCATACTATAATAAAATGTTATAAATCTAACTCTGCCTCAGAAAAGCTTTTAGTAAAAAATTATCTGTAGTTTACTCAATTTGGGTTCGTGGAAAATTTCAATATTCCAGATAATTCAGATACTTAAATGTCAAGGAAATCCCATAAAACATATTTTAATAAGATACAGTCATCTTAGCTAAGAATTTTATATTACCAGTAAATTTAGAAAAAAAATAGAAAAATAGTACTTTAAGTACTGGTGCCCAGTAATGAGAACATTTTCACATTTAGCACAACGTGATTTGGTGTGTGGCTTGGATATCATAAATCTTCACTGAGCTAATGGCTGATTGGATTTACCTGGCCTGAATGGAAAATTAAAAATCACCTCTGGCCTACTCTTCAGCTTTTTTTTTAAAAATACATATAGATTTAAGATAAGTGTCTAAATAAACATATACACGGAAAATGGGTAACATAGGTATGTCAACGTATTTTCCATTATTGCATATGTCCTGTAGAGAAGCCTCAGAATAAATAGGTCAGAGGTCGTTTTCCTTCACAACTTCTGCAGCCCAGATGAGTTTAATGATCAGCTTAGATGGATATAAGTCAATTAGCTAAATTGGGAAAGTGAAGGCATCCAGGCAGGACCCAAATGGCAAATGTGAATCACATAGGCAAAGGGTGAGAAAGGAAGCAGGGCCCTGAAATGCTAAGCTGAAACTAGAGTCTTACATGGCTTTACCAAAACCTTACTTCCCAGGCCATGCACCTAAACGTGAAGCTTTGTTGATGTTTAAACATAACATTGTATGGCTGTGTTCCATTCTGAGATGCTATGGATCCATATAGGTGAGAGTAAGTTTATATCTGCATCCTCACTGTAGGCTGGGAAATTTAAAATGTTTGTTGATTAATATCTTTTGTATACATAAATAGCTACATAGGCAAACTCATATAATTCTTTATGTATGTGTTTTTATTATTTTATTTTATTTTGAGATGGAGTCTCACTCTGTCGCCCAGGCTGGAGTGCAGTGGTGAGATCTTGGCTCACTACAAGCTCCACCTCCCGGGTTCACACCATTTTCCTGCCTCAGCCTCCCGAGTAGCTGGGACTACAGGCTCCCACCACAACGCTCGGCTAATTTTTTAGTATTTTTAGTAGAGACGGGGTTTCACTGTGTTAGCCAGGATGGTCTCTATCTCCTGACCTCGTGATCCACCCACTTCAGCCTCCCAAAGTGTTGGGATTACAGGCATGAGCCACTGTGCTCGGCCTATGTATGTGTTTATTTGTCTACCCATTTATATCTACATACAGATCTAGCTATCATTTTTTCCATATGCATACAGAATAAAGATATAGGACTTCAAAGGATAAATAGGTATTTTTGTACTCATAGAAATGTAAACAAAAACTTCAATAAATGCAAAATCTTATTTGCCCTTTAAATTTTATTCATAAGAGTACACAAATGGAGGTATCTTCTGACCTGCATCTTGCTGCATTTAATGTTTTCAAAGAAAGAATTGGTTTTTGTTGCTCACATCTGTTAGCAAAAATGCACTAAAGCCATGAGAGTCATTTATCGCCAAGTCAAAAATGGCCTTTCTTATTCTGGTGAATGTGAAAACACAGATAAACTAGCCTCAGCTTGAAGGCCTTAACACAAATTTGCAAATGAGAAATAATTCTTTTTAAAGCTTCCCTCAGTTTTAGAGCTCTTATTTTCAAACACATGATACAAGAAATAGTATTTTTTTTCTGTCTTTTTTTTTTTTGTTTTGAGACAGAGTTTCACTCTTGTTGCCCTGGCTGGAGTGCAACAGCATTATCTTGGCTCACTGCAAACTCTGCCTCCTGGGTTCAAGTGATTCTCCTGCCTCAGCCTTCTGAGTAGCTGGGATTACAGGCACATGCCACCACACCCAGCTTATTTTGCTGTTTTAGTAGAGACGGTGTTTCTCCATATTGGTCAGGCTGGTCTGGGATTCCTGACCTCAGGTGATTCGCCCACCTTGGCCTCCAAAAGTGCTAGGATTAAAGGCATGAGCCACTGCACCTGGCAGAAATAGAATCTTATTGTTTTGTTTGCTCAAGTAGTGACATTTTGGGTAAGAAAATTAAACACCAGATATCTGACTTGAAGATAAACTGCTATACTGAAAGCAAATTTCAAGGCGTTTTCAGATGCTTTTTTCTCTAGATTTAGATAAAGATGTAAGATATGTAGATAAACATATACAGACAGGTGCGGTGGCTCATGCCTGTAATTCCAGCACTTTGGGAGGCCAAGGCAGGTCGATCACTTGAAGCCAGGAGTTCAAGATCAGCCACACCAACATGACAAAACCCTGTCTCTACTAAAAATACAA